CTCATGTGAGGAAATGTCCCGCAGTGGGGCTTTAAAGTTCCTTTGACAGGTTGAACTGCTCATGTGACTCAGATTCACTTCAGATCACTGGACTGAACATTTGACTCAACATTTTATACTTTTTGTTTTTCTCCATTTGGTGATTTTTTATTTTATTTTTAATGGTAATTCCATCAGTGTTTCCGTAGCAACCATGTGGCACACTGAGCCCAGACTCCTCTGACGTCACAGAGTCACACGTGAGGAAGAACAATACAAGAAAACACATTTATTTTACTGAAATCATGTTTAAAGTCTCAAATCTGTCTCCACGGAAACCAAACCAGACACAGTCACAGGTCACATCTGTGGAGAGGCGACGCTCACAGGAGGAATGTACACTTTTATAGGGCTTTATGAGGTTTAGTCCTGGTTTAGACCTGGTTTAGTCCTGGTTTAGTCCTGGAACTTGGTCTGGTCTCTGGTTTCCATGAAGATAGAAAGTTTTAATGCCACACTGAGAAACATTCCAGACAAATGACTAAACTGGAACTAAACCATGACCATGGGGTCGCCTCTCCACAGATCTGACCTGTGACTGTGTCTGGTTTGGTCTCCATGGAGATACTCTGGATCGACTGCTTCTGTCTTGGCATCTTGGATCTTTGCTGTGAGTTTTTACACTCTGAAATTTACACTTTAAAATTTACACTCTGAAATTTACACTCTAAATTTTACACTCTGAATTTAACACTCTAAATTTAACACTCTAAATTGAACACTAATTTTTACACTCTGAATTTAACACTGTGAATTTTACGCTCTAAATTTACACTCTAAAATTTTACACTCAAATGCACTAATTTTTACACTCTGAATTTAACACTCTAAATTTAACTCTGAAATTTAAACACTCAAATCTTTTACAAATTCTTAAATTTTAACACTTAATTTAACACTCTAATTTACACTAATTTTTTACACTCTAACACTCGAATTTAACACTCTAAATTTTAACACTCTAAATTTAACACTCTAAATTTAACACTCTAAATTTTACACTCTAAATTTAACACTCTAAATTTTGACTGTTAAATTTGAGGACTTAATATGAATATTTAAAAGGTGATTTATTTTTACAGAATTTGAAAATGTAAACTTAAACTCAGAGTGAAACCCGCGCACAGACACAGCACAAAGATGGCGGGCGTCTCACCTGCCGACAGGTACACGGCCATGAACTGCTCCCTGCCCAACATGGAGACGGCGCTGCTGGAAAAACTCCACAGGACGTACATGTTGGCGGCGAGATGGAAGAACGAGTAATGAGAGAAGGACGAGAGGAGGAGAGGAGAACACAACGTCTCTGTAAAAGAAGAAGAACGAGGGATGAGAGGAGGACGAGAGGAGGAGAGGAGAACACAACGTCTCTGTAAAAGAAGAAGAAGAAGAATGAGAGGAGAGAAGGAGAAGAAAACGTCTCTGTAAAAAGAAGAAGAACGAGGGAGAGAGAGGAGTCTCTGTAGAAGACGAAGAAGAGAGGAGACGACAACGTCTCTGTAAAAGAAGAAGAAGAAGAGGAGGATGAGAGGAGAAGAGAGAGAGAGAGACACAAACGTCTCTGTAAAAGAAGAAGAAGGAACGAGGGATGAGAGAGGACGAGAGGAGGAGAGGAGAACACAACGTCTCTGTAAAAGAAGAAGAAGAACGAGGGATGAGAGGAGGACGAGAGGAGGAGAGGAGAACACAACGTCTCTGTAAAAGAAGAAGAAGACGAGGGATGAGAGGAGGATGAGAGGAGGAGAGGAGAACACAACGTCTCTGTAAAAGAAGAAGAAGAAGACGAGGGATGAGAGGAGGACGAGAGGAGGAGAGGAGAACACAACGTCTCTGTAAAAGAAGAAGAAGAAGAACGAGGGATGAGAGGAGGACGAGAGGAGGAGAGGAAGGAGAGATGGAGGAGAGAAGGAGGAGAGGAAGTGGAGGAGAGGAGAGGAGGAGGAGAGGAGGAGGAGAGGAAGGAGGAGAGAAGAGGAGAGGAAGGAGGAGAGAGAGGAGAGAGAGAGGAGAGAAGAAGAGGAGGAGAGAGGAAGGAGAGGAAGGAGGAGAGAAGGAGAGAAGGAGAGAGAGGAGAGGAGGAGAGGAGGAGAGGAGGAGAAGGAAGGAGAGGAGGAGAGGAAGAGGAGGAGAGAGAAGGAGGAGAGAAGGAGAGAGAGAGAGAGAGAGGGAGAGAGAGGAGGAGAGAGAGGAGAGGAAGAGGAGAGAGGAGGAGAGAGAGAGAGAGGAGAGGAGGAGGAGAGAAGAGGAGGAAGGAGGAAGGAGGAGAGAGGAGGAGGAGGAGGAGAGGAAGGAGGAGAGGAGAGAGGAGAGAGAGAGGAGGAGAGGGAGGAGGAGGAGAGAAGAGGAGAGGAAGAGGAGAGGAGGAGGAGGAGGAGAGAGAAGGAGAGGAGGAGAGGAGGAGAGAGGAGAGGAAAGAGGAGAGAAGGAGAGGAGGAGAGGAAGTAGGAGAGGAAGGAGAGAGGAGACGCAACGTCTCTGTAAAAGAAGAACGAGGGATGAGAGGAGGAGGAGAGGAGAACACAACGTCTCTGATCCATGTTTTTCTTCTCCTCTTTCGTTCAGTCTTGTTTTTATTTGTGGATGATCTTCATGTTTCACTTAAACAGTTTCAAACGTCTCGTTCACTGTGAGAACTTTGGTTCCTGGTGTAAGTGGAACCGGCACCGTTCTGCCCCACCTGAAAACATCTTCAGAGGTCAGAGGTTATGGTCCCAATCTGGAGCCAGAAACAGAAACTCAAACTGTGGTCCAACGTCAAAAACACGAGAGACGATCAGAAGAACACGAGGAAAAACAGACAAAAACAGAAACGACGGCGGCGAGACTCACTGGAGGCGGGGTCGGCCGTGAAGAAGCGGATCATGGTTCTCTGGAACGCCGGAACTCTCCAACAACAAAACACCAGGAAGTTCACCGCGATGATCCCTTCAACAAACACAAACACGAGAAGGAAAATAAACACAAACACAAACACAAGAAGGAAAATAAACACAAACACAAGAAGGAAAATAAACACAAACACAAGAAGGAAAATAAACACAAACACAAGAAGGAAAATAAACACAAAACACAAGAAGGAAAATAAACACAAACACAAGAAGGAAAATAAACACAAACACAAGAAGGAAAATAAACACAAAACACAAGGAGGAAAATAAACACAAAAACAAGAAGGAAAATAAACACAAACACAAGAAGGAAAATAAAAACACAAACAACAAGAAGGAAATAAACACAAAACACAAGAAGGAAAATAAACACAAACACAAAACACAAGAAGAAAATAACACAAACACAAGAAGGAAAATAAACACAAACACAAAAACAAGAAAAAATAAACACAAACACAAGAAGGAAAATAAACACAAAACACAAGAAGGAAAATAAAACACAAACACAAGAAGGAAAATAAACACAAACACAAGAAGGAAAATAAACACAAACACAAACACAAGAAGGAAAATAAACACAAACACAAACACAAGAACGAAAATAAACACAAACACAAAAAAAATAAAACAAACAAAAGGAAATAAACACAAACACAAGAACAAGAACGAAAATAAAAACAAACACAAAAACAAGAACGAAAATAAAAACAAAACACACAAAAACAAGAAGGAAAATAAAAACAAACACAAGAAGGAAAATAAAAAAACAAAAAATAAAAAAAAACAAAAAAATAAAAACAAAAAACAAAAATAAAAACAAAAATAAATTTTAAATTAAAATAAAAAAAAAAACAAAAACAAAAACAAGAACATACAGGACAAGTTTAGTCCTGGTTTAGTCCTGGTTCAGTCCTGGTTGTTTAGTCCTGGTTTAGTCCTGGTTTAGTCAGTCCTGGTTTAGTCCTGGTTTAGTTTCAGTCCTGGTTTAGTCCTGGTTCAGTCCTGGTTTCCCTGGTTCAGTCCTGGTTCCTGGTTTAGTCCTGGTTCAGTCCTGGTTCAGGTTTCAGTCCTGGTTTAGTCCTGGTTTAGTCCTGGTTCAGTCCTGGTTTAGTCCTGGTTTAGTCCTGGTTCAGTCCTGGTTTAGTCCTGGTTTAGTCCTGGTTCAGTCCTGGTTCAGTCCTGGTTCAGTCCTGGTTCAGTCCTGGTTCAGTCCTGGTTTTCTCACCTGTGACTGTCCTTTGACCTTCAGTCAGACTGTTCCACCATTGGTTCACCTGAAACAGAAGCAGCCAATCACAGCGCAGAGAATAATACTCCCTACAATAACAAAGATTTACTCAAACGTGTGAGTGAAACATGACACAGGAGCAGGTTTACATCAGGGTTTCATTCTGATAATCGTCTTTGTTGTTTCCATGGAGATAATCAAAGTTGAATTGTTGTTTCCGTGTTAAACTTGTTAAATGTTTTTTTATTTCATGAGTCTGATTCTGATTGGACAAAGACACTAAGAAAACACACACTTCAACTGCTCCCGGGACTAAACCAGGACTAAACCAGGACTAAACCAGGTCTAAACCAGGTCTAAACCAGGTCTAAACCAGGACTAAACCAGGACTAAAAGGACTAAACCAGGTCTAAACCAGGACTAAACCAGGTCTAAACCAGGACTAAACCAGGTCTAAACAGGACTAAAGGTCCTAAACCAGGTCTAAACCAGGACTAAACCAGGACTAAACCAGGACTCTAAACCAGGTCTAAACCAGGTCTAAACCAGGACTAAACCAGGACTAAACCAGGTCTAAACCAAGTCTAAACCAGGACTAAACCAGGATTAAACCAGGACTAAACCAGGTCTAAAGGTCTACAGGTCTAAACCAGGACTAAACTAAACCAGGACTAAACCAGGACTAAACCAGGACTAACCAAGGACTAAACCAGGACTAAACCAGGACTAAACCAGGTCTAAACCAGGTCTAAACCAGGACTAAACCAGGACTAAACCAGACTAAACCAGACTAAACCAGGACTAAACCAGGTCTAAACCAGGACTAAAACCAGGTCTAAACCAGGACTAAACCAGGACTAACCAGGACTAAACCAGGACTAAACCAGGACTAAACCAGGACTAAACCAGGACTAAACCAGGCTAAACCAGGTTAAACCAGGAAACTAAACCAGGACTAAACCAGGACTAACCAGGACTAAACCAGGATTAAACCAGGACTAAACCAGGTCTAAACCAGGACTAAACCAGGACTAAACCAGGACCAGGTAAACCAGGTCTAAACCAGGACTAAACCAGGACTAAACCAGGACTAAACCAGGACTAAACCAGGTAAACCAGGTAAACCAGGTCTAAACCAGGTCTAAACCAGGACTAAACCAGGACTAAACCAGGTCTAAACCAGGTCTAAACCAGGTCTAAACCAGGAAACCAGGTAAACCAGGTCTAAACTAAACCAGGACTAAAACCAGGACTAAACCAGGACTAAACCAGGTAAACCAGGTCTAAACCAGGACTAAACCAGGGACTAAACCAGGACTAAACCAGGGAAAACCAGGACTAAACCAGGTCTAAACCGGGACTGAAACCAGACTAAACCAGGTCTAAACCAGGACTAAACCAGGACTAAACCGGGACTAAACCAGACTAAACCGGGACTAAACCAGGACTAAACCAGGACTAAACCAGGTCTAAACTAAATCTAAACCAGGACTAAACCAGGACTAAACCAGGACTAAACCAGGTCTAAACCAGGACTAAACCACCAGGACTAAACCAGGACTAAACCAGGTCTAAACCAGGACTAAACCAGGACTAAACCGGGACTAAACCAGGACTAAACCAGGACTAAACCAGGTCTAAAACCAGGGACTAAACCAGGACTAAACCAGGTCTAAACCAGGGACTAAACCAGGACTAAACCGGGTCTAAACCGGGACTAAACTGGGACTAAACCGGGGACTAAACCGGGACTAAACCAGGACTAAACCAGGTCTAAACCAGGACTAAACCAGGACTAAACCAGGACTAAACCAGGTAAACCAGGACTAAAACCAGGACTAAACCAGAACTAAACCAGGACTAAACCAGAACTAAACCAGGACTAAACCAGGACTAAACCAGGTCTAAACCAGGGACTAAACCAGGTCTAAACTGGACTAAACCAGGTCTAAACCAGGACTAAACCAGGACTAAACCAGGACTAAACCAGGTCTAAACCAGGACTAAACCAGGACTCTAAACCAGGACTCTAAAACCAGGACTAAACCAAACCAGGACTAAACCAGGACTAAACCAGGACTACTAAACCTAAACCACTAAACCAGGACTAAACCGGGACTAAACCAGGACTAAACAAGGTCTAAACCGGGACTAAACCAGGTCCAAACCAGGACTGAACCAGAACTAAACCAGGTCTAAACCAGGACTAAACCGGGACTAAACCAGGACTAAACCGGGACTAAACCAGGACTAAACCAGGTCTAAACTAAATCTAAACCAGGACTAAACCAGGACTGAACCAGAACTAAACCAGGTCTAAACCAGGACTAAACCAGGACTAAACTAAACTAAACCAGGTCTAAACCAGGACTAAACCAGGACTAAACCAGGGACTAAACCAGGACTAAACCAGGTCTAAACCAGGTCTAAACCAGGTAAACCAGGACTAAACCAGGACTAAAACCAGGTCTAAACCAGGACTAAACCAGGTCTAAACCAGGGACTAAACTGGGACTAAACCAGGACTAAACCAGGACTAAACCAGGGACTAAACCAGGTCTAAACCAGGGACTAAACCAGGTCTAAACCAGGACTAAACCAGGTCTACTAAAACAGGACTAAACCTAGGTCTAAATCCTGCTGTGTGGACGTGTTTCTTCTTCTTCTATCAATAATATTTTTTATTTGGTTCAGTAAAAAATCTGGACTTTTTATTTTCTTTTATCAGACAAAACTTCTTACGTGAAGATTTCCTCGTCTTTGTTTCTCTACAGCAAATCAAGTAATCCAAAGTAATCAGATTACATTACTCACTTTAAGTAATTTAATGGATTTTGTTATAAACTACATTTTGGGGTGTGTAATCTGTAATCTGTAGGGGATTACATTTGAAAAGTAAACTTCCCAACACTGTTTGTACCATATATTTTCTTCTGCTGTGGTTGTCCTCGTCTGTCCTGTGTTTGTGTGCAGCACTTTGGTCGTAAAGTTTTTAAAGTGCTTTATAAATAAAGTTGGTAAATGTTTATGATCGAGGAAGAAACTCATTCATCTTTACAATCAGAATAAACCAAACACTAACTTCAGAATAAAATTTAACTCTGAAGAATCATTTTCATTTGGAATTCAGTGTTTACATGTTTTGTTTTGTTCAGAGTTAAATGTGATGTGGAGTAAACTGGTGGTGTGAAAGTGTCTGGACTCTCACGTCTTTGCGCAGGTCTCCTCTTTTCTTGGGACGAAGTTTTTCTAACCAGTCGGAATGAACCTGGTCGAAGTAACTCTGGACTCTGGACTTCAGGCTCTCGTACTGCCACAGCGCAGCGCCCCCAAACGCACAACCTGTGAACTACACCAGACACACACAAGACCAGGGTTTAGACCTGGTTCAGTCCTGGTCTAGTCCTGGTTTAAACCGCTGTCACACCTCGACGATTTAGTCAGCGTACGCCGACGTATGAAAAATTTGGCAAAAACACTGATGTACGTCGGATAAGTTCTAGGTAAGTCTTGTGTAAGTTCTGAACACGCTGGAGCACGGCGACATACGGCGACATACGGCGACATACGGCGACATACGGCGACATACGGCGACATACGGCGACATACGGCGACATACGGCACATACGGCGACATACGGCGACATACGGCGACATACGGCGACATACGGCGACATACGGCGACATACGGCGACATACGGCGACATACGGCGACATACGGCGACATACGGCGACATACGGCGACATACGGCGACATACGGCGACATACGGCGACATACGGCGACATACGGCGACATACGGCGACATACGGCGACATACGGCGGGCGACATACGGCGACATACGGCGACATACGGCGACATACGGCGACATACGGCGACATACGGCGACATACGGCGACATACGGCGACATACGGCGACATACGGCGACGATGAAAAATTTTGAGCATGCTGAAAATTTCTGGACGTATGTCAGCGTGTGTTTATACGTCCTGCACACACGGGCCATAAGTTGTAGGTCAGTTACGTGATCACTGACACACGTTAACTGTAAGTTTCTCATAAGTCCAAATACGTAGAGAAAATGTCTAATGTTCACAGAATTTATGAGTAACGAGCTTTGAACCTGCGTGTAACTTATATCCAACTTATCTCCAACGTATATTTACTTATGCAGACGTATTTGACAGGTGTGTGCAAAAATATTGAAATATCGATATATCGTATCACTTAATGTGATGATACAGTATCGATATCATCGGCTGCTGTATCGATATATCACCAAGAGTATTTTTGGCATATTTCACTAAATTATTTTGTTACAGCTACAGTTTTGGTGTTTGTTCAGAGGAAGGAAACTTTTTTATGCGACACATTTGACATTTTCACAGTTTTGATGATTAAAATGTTTGTGTTTCATATGAACTTTGCACAAGAAGTGATTTAACAAAGACTTTTAGTATCACAGACATGATTTAGCCTTTATTTTTATTGAATTGTATTGAATCAATTTGAAATATATCGTATTGAATCGAAAGATCACTGTATCGAGGTGTGTATCGTATCGGCAACTCCTTAATGATACCAGCCCGAGTATTTGACATGTTCCAGACGACCGCAGAACTTACTGAACATGTTTCTAACTTGTATCTATCGTATGTCGTCGTGTTGGCAGCGTTTAGGGGAATTGGTGTAAAAATGTGTCATATGAGCCGATGTGAAACACTTGACCAGAGAAAACTTCAGCCACAGACGACATCAGACAGTGGGAAAATGTCCTCGCTGAGTCGTGGGAAACAGTCATTTGCATTTAAAAAAAAAGCGTCATGTAGGTGATCTGCGGAGAACACCACAGACTAACCGATCAATTCATTGCGACAGCTCAATAAGACTTTATTACTCACTCTGTATTATCCCCAGAATTTGTCCTCTGCAAATAACAAAACCGCACTGTTAATCCATTTGAGTCTTTGAAAGTAAAAAGGTGAGAGTCGCTCGTGTGAAGCTGCAGATCAGTGATAGTGACTCTACTTCCTGTGGACTTTATCTCCAATCTTTCTGCTTTAAAAACCAAGTATCTGAAGTAGGGACGGGCATTCGATTAAATCTTCTTAATCAATCGTCAGAAGAATTAACGATCGATTATTGATTAATCATTAATGTTTTTATATTAAAATGATCATCATTATTATTACTATCTGCACTAATCTGCATCAATAAATTCAACTTTACGACATATAAACATAACGACTCTAGATCCACATCAGCTGTTTGACATTATAATGTGTTTAATTCAGTTTTGTTCAAATCTCACAGAAACAAAACTTAAAACCACATCACTAATTTACATAAACTAAGTGAAGATAAAACTCCAGCTCTTGTGTCGCTGATGTGGTTCAACTTGTGTTGGATTAAAAGACATGACTCAGGTGAATACAGGTCAGTGTGACCAGATTTGTGTTTGTCAAAACCAGGACAGCGTACGGGGGGAGGGGGGCGGGGCCTCGTCATCCACATTGAGCGACTCTCACCTGGAAAAACTTTTTCCCACTGGACACAGAAACATATGTGCTGCTTTATCCACTGTGCACATGGACTCACACTTGTCCCAACGCAACGGAAAGTGTGGAATTTCTTCTACAAATCCTGGTTAAATCCACATTTGTGCTTCGGTTCGTTACAGACTGACCCACTGTTGTGTGTCGCTCCTTCTGATGCAGAGACACATGTACACACCTGTTTGGTCACGACACACACACATACATTCAGTTTGTCCATTAAAATGAACGGAATCCATGAAATTCTTAATGATCAATTATCGATTAATCATGCCCATCCCTACTCTGCAGTATTGCATCACATTTCACAAATAATAACTCAGTTTTGTCTTGTATCTAAACTAGAAGTGCCGTGGCGAGTGGTTTTACTGTAGACAGGAAACTTTACATCCTGTGGTCTGCAGACAGATCGCGCTGTTTATACCGACCTGTCAATCATCTGCTGCATTCAGCACCATGGACAGAGAGATTCATCTGGGGATATATCATTTGATATGATTTAAATTATGGAGCGACAGCCTTTCAATAGGCGACGACACATGATCATTGGAGATACGCTGCCGTGCGCTATGCAGAGGTTATTTATTTTATTTATTATTTTTTTATTTAAAAGGGACAATGCATATTCATGAACATGTACTTGTAAATATGCCAGAATTAGCCCAAAGGCGACTTTTTATCTGTCGTCCTGCAGGTCAGAGAGACAGAGACAAAAACATAAGAACATAAAACACGTCACAATAGACAAACACACAAACATGACACACAACACTGACATTTACACAGGAGCAGAACATTAGTGACACAGATCTGGTTTCTCTTAAGCTTCGTTTCAGTTTAGTTTTAAATGAACTGAATGTGGTGGAGTCTCTTCTAGCAGCTGGATGTTGTTCTAGAGTTTTGTTCCTTGACTGAAAACACCTGTTGACTGAGAAGTTGTGCGTCTCTAGGGTTTTGCACAGTCGCCTCTGGTCGAGGCTCTTGTTCCTCGACCACTAGAGCTGGACTTGGTCTTCATGAACTCACCCAGAGGAGGTGGAGCGAGTCCAGTTAAGACTTTGTAAACTGAGCAGACGTGTTTAAATTTTTGAAAATTTCTAAAACTTAAGATATTATACTTCTGTAGTATGAGGCAATGATGAAACGATAAAGATTTCCTCTCAAATATCTTTAACGCTTTTTTAAAAAGTGATTCTATTATTTTGAAGGTTGTCGTGTTTGTCAGTGAACAGTTAGTGATGCTGTGTTCAATATGAGAGAGAATCCTGCTGTGGAGAAACATTTTAGCTGCATTTCCTGGCAATGATGCTCTAATTACATGTTTTTTAAAGTTAAAGTGGAGTCCAAGGTCACACCAAGATACTTAAATTCATCTACAAACTGGAGTCCCTCACCCCTCAGCAGCACATTTAAACAAGACTTTGATGGACGTTTTGAAAAAAGCATGAAAACATTTGTTTTAGTGTCAGTAAGAGACTGGACTTGGTCAGACACTTGTCTGAACAGGTGATTCTCGCTGATGTGAACTTCTCTGAAGCTTCTATGACAGATTTTGCTTTTGTAAAAATGACGGCATCATCAGCAGACACAATGTTAAGGTCCGTACAAACATTGGGCAGATCATTAATGTATAATGAACAATAAGACGTTGGGCATAAGTTGTGGACACTGGCAACACGCTCAGCATTGGTATAAGTTATATATAAATGATCAAAACATCTTACATAAGTTACTAATACATATGTACACGCCCAACTCAGTATGAACACACTGTGTATACACAGAAATAAATAAAACATCCACGGTTCAGCGTATGTCAGCGTTTTAGGGAAATTCTGGTACGTCGACAAACACTGGCCAAATCATCAAGGTGTGACAGGGTCTTTAGTCCTGGTTCAGTCCTGGTTTAGTTCTGGTTTGTCCTGGTTTAGTTGGTTAGTTCTGCTGTTTAGTAGTTTGGTTAGTAGTCCTGGTTTAGTTCTGGTTTAGTCCTGGTTTAGTCCTGGTTGGTTTAGTCCTGGTTTAGTCTGGTTAGTCCTGGTTTAGTTCTGGTTCAGTCCTGGTTTTCTGGTTTATCTGGTTTAGTCCTGGTTTAGTTCTGGTTTAGTTTAGTCTGGTTTAGTTCTGGTTTAGTCCTGGTTTAGTTCTGGTTTAGTTGGTTTAGTCTGGTTTAGTTCTGGTTTAGTCTGGTTTAGTCCTGGTTTAGTTCTGGTTTAGTCCTGGTTTAGTCCTGGTTTAGTCCTGGTTTAGTCCTGTTTAGTCCTGGTTTAGTTTGGTTTAGTCCTGGTTTGTTCTGGTTTAGTCCTGGTTTAGTTCTGGTTTAGTGGTTTAGTCCTGGTTTAGTTCTGGTTTGTTCTGGTTTAGTCCTGGTTTAGTTCTGGTTTAGTTCTGGTTTAGTCCTGGTTTAGTCCTGGTTTAGTCCTGGTTTAGTCCTGGTTTAGTCCTGGTTTAGTTCTGGTTTAGTCCTGGTTTTAGTTCTGGTTTAGTCCTGGTTTAGTCCTGTTCTGGTTTAGTCCTGGTTTAGTTCTGGTTTAGTCCTGGTTTAGTTCTGGTTTAGTCCTGGTTTAGTTCTGGTTTAGTCCTGGTTTTAGTTCTGGTTTAGTCCTGGTTTAGTTCTGGTTTAGTCTGGTTTAGTCCTGGTTTAGTCTGGTTTAGTTCTGGTTTAGTCCTGGTTTAGTCCTGGTTTAGTCCTGGTTTAGTCCTGGTTCCTGGTTATTTAGTTCTGGTTTAGTCCTGGTTTAGTCTGGTTTAGTCCTGGTTTAGTCCTCTGGTTTAGTCCTGGTTTAGTCCTGGTTTAGTCCTGGTTTAGTCCTGGTTTAGTCCTGGTTTAGTTCTGGTTTAGTCCTCCCTGGTTTAGTCCTGGTTCTGGTTTAGTCCTGGTTTAGTTTAGTTCCTGGTTTAGTCCTGGTTTAGTCCTGGTTTAGTCCTGGTTTAGTCCTGGTTCAGTCCTGGTTTAGTCCTGGTTTAGTCCTGGTTCAGTCCTGGTCTGGTCCTGGTTCTTACCCCCACAGTAAAAACCATGGGCTTCACCAGTCGTCCAAAGTCCCTGTAGGGTCCGTCTCGGTGTGGGGGGGGCCCTGGCTCCGGCCTCGGCGGGCGCCGCGGGGCCCCCGGGCGTCGTCGGGTCCCGGGCTCCGGCGGGGGGGTCCCTGGGCGCCGTCGGGTCCCGGGCGGAGGACGGGGGCCCGCCGGGGGACGCCTCTTCTTCTCCTCTGCGTCCCTCTGGTTTCCGAGAGGCTTTTTTAAACCCACACCTCTGCTGCACGTTCAGGCGCCACCTGCTGGACACACGAGGAACAACCACACGCCACAGGTCAGGACAAAGTCTGGGGTTTCTCATCAACGTTTCCTGAAGCTGCGACGCTAACTGTAGGCACTGCTCTTAACGCCGGCGTCGGTTATAAACACGGGATAACAAAAAACTCAAATATGTTCGTTTGTACAAATACCATCACTAGTAATTTTCCATATTTGTTTACGTCGCAAAGCATTCTGGGAAACCTACAGAGTAAGAAAGATTTCAGAAATATTTATGTACAGAGGACTTTTGCACTGCATATAGACTGAACCAGGTCTAAACCAGGACTAAACCAGGTCTAAACCAGGTCTAAACCAGGTCTAAACCAGGACTAAACCAGGTAAACCAGGTCTAAACCAGGTCTGAACCAGGACCAGGTCTAAACCAGGACTAAACCAGGACTAACCAGAACTAAACCAGGACTAAACCAGGTCTAAACCAGGTCTAAACCAGGACTAAACCAGGTCTAAACCAGGACTAAACCAGGAACTAAACCAGGTCTAAACCAGGTCTAAAACCAGGACTAAACCAGGTCTAAACCAGGTCTAAACCAGGACTAAAACCAGGTCTAAACCAGGACTAAACCAGGACTAAACCAGGTCTAAACCAGGTCTAAAACCAGGACTAAACCAGGTCTAAACCAGGACTAAACCAGGTCTAAACCAGGTCTAACCAGGTCTAAACCAGGTCTAAACCAGGTCTAAACCAGGACTAAACCAGGACTAAACCAGGTCTAAACTTGGACAAACCAGGACTAAACTAAACCAGGTCTAAACTAAACCAGGTCTAAACCAGGTCTAAACCAGGACTAAACCAGGTCTAAACCAGGTCTAAACCAGGACTAAACCAGGTCTAAACCAAACCAGGACTAAACCAGGTCTAAACCAGGTCTAAACCAGGACTAAACCAGGTCTAAACCAGGTCTAAAACCAGGTCTAACCAGGTCTAAACCAGGACTAACCAGGACTAAACCAGGTCAAACCAGGTCTAAACCAGGTCTAAACCAGGTCTAACCAGGTCTAAACAGGACTAAACCAGGACTAAACCAGGTCTGAACCAGGTCTGAACCAGGTCTAAACCAGGTCTAAACCAGGTCTAACCAGGACTAAACCAGGACTAAACCAGGTAAACCAGGTAAACCAGGACTAAACCAGGTCTAAACCAGGTCTGAACCAGGTCTAAACCAGGTAACTAAACCAGGACTCTAAACCAGGTCTAAACCAGGACTAAACTAAACCAGGTCTAAACCAGGTCTAAACCAGGACTAACCAGGTCTAAACCAACCAGAACTAAACCAGGTCTAAACCAGGTCTAAACCAGGTCTAAACCAGACTAAACCAGGTCTAAACCAGGACTAAACCAGGACTAAACCAGGACTAAACCAGGAACCAGGACTAAACCAGGACTAAACCAGAACTAAACCAGGACTAAACCAGGTCTAAACCAGGACTAAACCAGGTCTAAACCCAGGACTGAACCAGGTCTAAACCAGGTCTAAACCAGGTCTAACCAGGACTAAACCAGATCTAAACCAGGACTAAAGTCTAAACCAGGACTAAACCAGGTCTAAACCAGTCTAAACCAGGTCTAACCAGGACTGAACCAGGTAAACCAGGAATAAATAACCAGGAACCAGGTTGAACCAGGTCCAGTAACCAGGAAACCAGGAAACCAGGTAAAACCAGGTAACCAGGTCTGAACCAGGTAACCAGGTTAAAGGTCTAACCAGGTCCAGAAACCAGCCAGTCTAACCTAAACCAGGACTAAACCAGGTCTAACCAGAACCAGGTCTGAACCAGGACTAACCAGAAACCAGGACTAAACCAGGTCTAAACCAGAACTAGGTCTAAACCAGGACTAAACCAGGTCTAAACCAGGTCTGAACCAGGACTGAACCAGGACTAAACCAGGTCTGAACCAGGTCTAACCAGGTCTAACCAGGACTAAACCAGGTCTAAACCAGGAACCAGGTCTGAACCAGGTCTGAACCAGTAAAACCAGGACTAAACCAGGTCTGAACCAGGTCTAAACCAGGTCTGAACCAGGTCTGAAACCAGGACTGAACCAGGTCTAAACCAGGTCTGAACCAGGACTGAACCAGGACTGAACCAGGTCTAAACCAGGTCTAAACCAGGTCTGAACCAGGACTAAATAAGGAGGTTTTTTTAACTTTATTCTGATAAAATTACGACTTTATTCTGGTAAAATTACGATTTTAACGTTGAAATGTTACAAATTTATTCTCATAGTGCCAGCAGAACTAAAACCAGGACTAAACCAGGACTAAACCAGGACTGAACCAGGACTGAACCAGGACTAAATCAGGACCAGGTTTCGTGTTCGCACAGAAGAAAGCGTAATTGTAAATTTTCTTTTCGTGATTTTAATTCTCGACGTCGTTACTTTTCAATCAATATTCCGATGGAAAAAACACACACAGCACATTAGATGTACGACTGGACTCACTCTAGAGTTCACAAATATTTATTTTATGCTCAATTACAGCCAAATAAAACGCTCGCTTGCTCCATAAATCAGCATCATTATGTGATAAAAAACTTACTGTACTGGTGGTTTTCAGATGATATCATTTGTCACGCATCTTTAAGTCGTTGTACTCGTCCGACAACATTTTCCCGTTGTTAAAAAACAAACGAACATATGTGAGTTTTTTAGTATCAGGTGTTTATAACTGACGCCAACGTTAATCATATAAGAGCAGTGTGTCAAAGTAGCCGGGGATCTAAAGTCCTCGTATCAAACCTGGAGTTATGTTTTGTTTTTTTGTTTGTTTCACTCCACTGTGTTTTTAAAAACTCCACACACCTTCACTAGAATCACGTGGGTCGTTTCAGTCCTGGAATTTCTCTCCAATCTCGACTGAACTGAAGGGAAAAAGGAGCTGAGGACTTGAAAACTACCACCACGTCATGACATCACAAGGTGGAACAGAGCGTCTGGAGCTTTGGAGATGTGGACAGACGAAAAATAAAGAATTACTCAAACCTGTGTGAATGAAACAAAACACAAGTCCAGGTCTGTGTTTTTGAGGAGAACATGATTTAAAACTCAGATATTGGACCTTTAAAACTTTATTTAATCTACATTTAGAGGAAAATAACGGTTTAAAATGAATCATGTTGAAGTTTTTGTGGGATTTCAGGGAGACCAGATTTACTTTTTTGATGTTTGGAAACAATAAAATAGTGAATCGAGTGCGGAATTAAGGAAAACTGTTCTGCACTTGAGTCAGTATAGTCCCAGTTTGTGTTTTAATAGTGTGTCCACACGTCTCTGTTTCCCCGGGACAGTCCCAGTCCTGAGTCTGTGTCTCTGTCCCACAGATTTATACAAAACCACTGATTTGTCCCAATTTATACAAGAAATGTCCCAGTGTCCCAATTTTACACCAATCTGATCCTGACAACAGTAAAGAGAGACATTAGGCCTGGAGCCAGGTCCACCCCCAGGATGATTTTTGCTCCTTTTTTTCACTATTATTTCCTGTTATCTTATATCTTTGGCCATCATGAGTTGATGGGACCAACCTCAACTCGGCCCCGTTTGGGCTCAGGGCCCAAAAAACACACTTTTTGAGAAAAGCTATTTGCGAAATTATGTAACTGTAAATATGAAGGTACTGAAACTGCAAACATGCTCAAATAATCCTAAAATTTGGCACGGTGGATCCTAACACATGGGGGAAACTAGCAGAAAAATATTCTGGGGCTTGCTGCTTTTCTACTGTCAAATATCAACCTCAACACCAAAAGACCAAAAAATGTCTTGTCAGCAAAATTGATCATTTTCAATCATTTTATTGCATATATCACTGCCTCAAATGTACATGAATATAAATATGAATATACATTTCATTTGTTTCAGTAAAATACAGAAAATCTGCTTAAAAACGACCAAAACACAAAGAAAATGTGACTAAAGTGACTCACACTCGTGCAGAGGACAGAACTATTCTCCTAAACCCAAACCAGAGTCAGTTTTTTATTTTGAACATCTGATGACTCTAGTTTAGTCATTTTAAAGCAGATTTTCTGTATTTTAAATAAATAAATGTCAGTTTGTGTTTCTTTTTACTGTTGTCAGGGTCAGACTGGTTCAAAACAGAGACACTGGGACATTTCTTGTATAAATTGGGACAAATCAGTGGTTTTGTATAAATCTGCGGGACAGAGACACAGACTCAGGACTGGGACTGTCCCGGGGACACGGGGACATGTGGACACTCTGTTCTGTTTAAATAAAACTTCCCCGGTGTTTTTTTTCTTCTTTACATCAGCATCGTGTCATTCACAAAAACAAACTTTAGCCGCATGTGCTAACTGAAGCTAACCGGGAGCTAACGCTGCTAAAGCTAACAGCGGCTCTCGGCGGAGCGCTGAGTCCGGCCGCGGGTCACTCACCTCCCGCTGAAGCCCTCCGGTCCCGTGAGCCGGAGCAGAGCCCCGCAGCGGGTCGTCCACGCCATCTG